TGTATTTGCTAGGCCCTTTTAAACATTACTGTTACTGAAAATAGTAATAATAATAATAATAATAATAATAATAATAATAATAATAATAATAAAAAATCAATGCATATTTTATTATGCTAATTTAATTAGTTAATTCCCTTAGTGTCCTACTTGCTATTTGACAAGCAAAATGTCACTTAGGATGCTTCTTATCAATTAGCATGTGATTATTAGTTATGTTCTGGTACTTGGAAATTGGTGCTATCCCTTTAAAGTGAATGTTTAGGGAATATCCTACTGGCATTGGGTAATTTTAACAATACAATTTATAGTTACCTATATTTGAGAATACATGAAATGATTTGTTTCTTAATAAAAGTATAGATAAAATGAGATACGTTTCACAATCCCATATTTGAATGTGACAATGGGTTTTAATTATTGAGAGTTTTAGAAATTTCACTTAAGTGAATCAAATATTTCTTATCATTTTTTTTTCTTTAGACAATTTATATGTTATCACAGTGGTAGAAATGTTATAATGAAGCATTTTAACAGCCATTCTAAGTCAGTATGCATTTGCAAAGACAAAAACAAGGCAAAAATCACTAGTTTTATTAAGGATGTACCGTACTTTTTGAAATATTGGGCATTTTCCTAAAAATAAAGACGGATTTTGTGAATACTTAATAATCTTAGATTAATAAGGTTGAAAAGAAACATGAACTGAAAATAAGCATATACATGCATGTAGGCATAATAACTGGAAAACAAAAAGGATGTGTATATGCCCAAGAGAAGCTAATCTTGATCCTTGCCAAACTGCAAGTTTTCCTCATGCTATGCAATTTACTTTATGCAAATTTACTTTAATGCATCTGATCACTTTCGCCTAAAATCTGGTTTATGTCCTCTCTCCAAAAAAACAAAACAAAAAAAAACAAAAACAAATAAAACCCCCACATCATTATGGAATTTGTGTCAGCATTGTCAAAGTGGGCCCAAAGGTTTGGAAATGTGCCAAGACCTCTTCCTGTCAAAACTGCTTAAAAATTTTCACGCCAAAATCATTTTCTCTTCTTTCAGACCTTGATCACTGTCTTTCATAGTTGTTCTAGTTGTGCTTCCGGTCTCCCATTCCTTGCTTCCATACTTGCATAATATTGTTATTATCGTATCAAAATACCCCACAACCTCTTGGCTGACCCGGATATCCAAAATGGAAAGGCAAAAGACCTAACACTAGAAACCAAGTTGGATGCATTATGTAAATATAACTATGGCTCACATCCTATTTGACTATTGCTTAATATAAATGGGTGAGAGACAAGTATCTTGGTCCATATACCAAATGACCCATTGGGATCCCCATATCAAAACAACTTACTTTATGGGCAGCCAGAACCTGAAAATAACAATTTAACACAGCACAGTACTTAAACAAAATGGTTCGGTTAAGATCTGCATACGTGGGACTGATTGGGGTAGATTGTAAGGGTGACACCGAAATATAATTTTATGTCATTTTATTCTACTTTATACATTTATGTATTAAATTATATTGTATCTTATCCTATAACTTGTATTTTAGCCTACCCAAAATTGTTTGTATAAGATTTTATTGGCGATATGTGTTTGCACCTTTTGCTTTGATATGGTCTATAGGCTAATCAAAGCTATTATTTTAAACTGTATTTTATTCCAATTTCATTTTAAATCGTATTTTATTCTGATTTCATTTTAAATTGTTTTTATCAGATTTTAGTAATAATTTTGTGTCTGGAACTCTGCCCTTTGATATGGCCCAAGGCCTCTAATCAATAAAGTAAAGTGCAAATAACATAATTTACACATAAAGTAAAAATAGTGAAGAACCTTGAACCCTAGGATGAGCTTTTAATGTCGATGTATCTACATTCACTGAGTTTACCGCCTTGAAAGAGGCGGTAGTGAGGCACCTCCTCAAGAAGCCCTCCCTGGACCCGGCTGAATTAGCTAACTACCGTCCGGGCTCCAACCTTCGTTTTGTGGTGAAGGTTGTTGAGAGCGTGGTGGCATGACAGCTTCCCCGGCACCTGGATGAAGCTATCTATCTGGACCCGTACCAGTCGGGCTTCAGGCAGGGGTACAGCACAGAAACGGCATTGGTCGCGTTGGTGGATGATCTCTGGAGGGCTCGGGACAGGAGTTGCTCCTCTGTCCTAGTCCTATTAGATCTCTCAGCAGCTTTTGATACCATCGATCATGGTATCATGCTGCAGCGGTTGAGGGGGTTAGGAATAGGGGGCACCGTTCTGCGGTGGTTCTCCTCCTACCTCTCTGTCCGCTTGCAGTTTGTGTTGCAGGGGGGCAGAGGTTGACCTCGAGGCGCCTCGCATGGGGAGTGCCACAAGGGTCGGTCCTCTCGCCCCTTCTGTTCAACATTTATGTGAAGCCGCTGGGTGAGATCATCCGTGGTTTTGGGGTGAAGTGTCATCTGTACGCTGATGATACTCAGCTGTACATCTCCACCCCAGACCACCCCAACGATGCCCTTGATGTGATGTCTCGCTGCCTGGAGGCCGTGCAGGTCTGGATGGGGAGGAACAGGCTCAGACTCAACCTTTCCAAGACCGAGTGGCTGTGGCTTCTGGCATCCCAATATAGTCAGCAGGTGCCATCGCTGACTATTGGGATGAATCTTTGCCCCCCACAGAGAGGGCTCGCAATCTGGGTGTCCTCCTGGACGCACGGCTGTCTTTTGAAGAGCATATGATGGCCGTGGCCAGGGGGGGCTTTTATCAGGTTCGCCTGATTCGCCAGTTGTAGCCCTTTCTGGACCGGGACGCTTTGTGCACGGTCACTCACACCCTTGTCACCTCCCGGCTGGATTATTGTAATGCTCTCTACATGGGGCTCCTCTTGAAGAGCACTCGGAGGCTCCAACTGGTCCAGAATGCGGCCGCGCGGGTGGTTATGGGCACAACTCGTGCCCATGTGACACCCCTCCTGCGCGAGCTGCACTGGCTCTCAGTGGTCTTCCGGGTGTGATTCAAGGTGTTGGTCACCACCTTTAAAGCGCTCCATGGCATAGGACCCAGGTACCTTCGAGACAGACTTCTGCCACCAATAGCCTCCCACCGGCCAGTTCGCTCCCACAGAGAGGGTCTCCTCAGGGTGCCATCGGCCAAGTTATGTCGGCTGGCGACACCCGGGGGGAGGGCCTTCTCTGTGGGAGCCCCAGCCCTGTGGAATGAACTGCCCCCGGAAGTGCATAAGATCTCCGACCTCCGGGTATTTCGCTGTGCACTCAAGACCCTGTTGTTCAGCCAGGCCGGGCTATCAACATAATAATTTTAAATTGGGTGTTTTAAATTTCTGGGGTTTTAAACTGAGCCAAATTATTTAATAATTTTAAATATTTTTAATTGATGTTTGTCTTGTGCTTTTAATAGGCTGTACACTGCCCTGAGTCCTTCGGGAGAAGGGCGGTATAGAAATAAAATTATTCTTATTCTTATTCTTAATGAAGGGGTGAAATCCAGCAGGTTCTGACAGGTTCTGGAGAACCAGTAGCGGAAATTTTGAGTAGTTCAAGAACTGGCAAATACAACCTCTGGCTGGCCCCAGAGTGGGGTGGGAATGCAGATTTTGCAGTATCCTTTCCCTGGAGTGGGGAGGGAATAGAGATTTTCCTATTTCCTTCCCCTGCCACGCCACCAAGCCACAAAAGCATCCTGAATGAAGATTTTAGTTCAGAAAGTAAAGAAATAATATTGCAAGCCTGCATTTGTTTCTACACATCCTGCATCTATAAGGCCAAAAAAGGAGCGGTAAAGGTGCTTTCAAATTCTTTGTGTGACAACAATGCCTTTTAATAGCATCAAAGATGGGAACTATAGAGTTAGATGGCATTCTTTGACATCTTTAAAATAAGACAGCACTCTAAACGGTGCAGAGTTTCTTGCTTGGGCAGGAAGTTGGACTAGATGACCTACAGAGACCCTGTTATTTCGTTCTAAATTCTTGCTAAGTTAAAATTAATTTCCTACTTATTATTTATTCCGATAAGCAAAAGGAGACAGAGCTTCTTTGATACCTAATCCTATCGTCAGTAAGATATGGGATAAAAACACAGATGTCTGAAACACTAACTCACTGGTCCATGCTTTCCTTTTATAAATATATGTGGCATAATTGATATCTATGTCCTCTACTTTCCATTAATTTTAAAGACAGCATTGTTTAAATTTAATTGAGAGCCCAAATTAAATGTACATTTAAATGTTCCTTTATTAATCAATTACATTTTTGTAACAAATACAGATAGGAAGCATTTGATGGCAATAATATTTTTAAATTTATGATAGCACGGGGTAAATCTCTTTGCAATTCACAGTATACACAGTACCTATTGACTGAATTTATTATTCATCTTAAATGTTAAAGTAAGCTTCTTTTGTGTAAAAAAAATGTAGCTTATGTTTGTGGTGTCAAATGTTGGTTTGTTCAACAAACTTATGATTACAAATCATGGATTCTTGCAATATGAGACTTTGGTTAAATTAGTGCTGGGTTAAAGAAAAAAACTTAAGAGCATTGCTTATTGATGATTAATGAAAGCAGGCTTTTTGCCAATGACTATAACATTAAGTAATAAATAAGAACCATGTGTCCTTTTGACCATGCAAGAATATTCTTTTAAGAGTTAAAATGTGGTGATTCAGCCGTTCTTATTCTTCCAATAGAAAAACGTTTCATACAGTACCCAATTGTGAAGGATCTGGGAGCCATGCCAAAATTATTTAATCACCCTCTGAATGAACAGATCTTCAAAGACAATTCTTCATATATTGTAACATAGCATTGATGTTCATCACAAAGAAATGTTTTAAAATTAACCATGATCAATCTTGCCAATGTATAAGTTATGGTTTAATGGGCTGTTAATGGAAATGAGGTATGGCTATAATTTATCACTTTCATCAATATATTCTTTTAGAATATCAATTTTTTGTAGTCCACTTCAATGGTCTACTTACTTAACAGGCCAAAGTTTGGATGAACATAGCTTCCATGTATACTCTGGCTTTGTCCCAGCTGTAATGAAACCAGTAATTAGCAAACCAGTAATTAACAAACCAGTAATTATCAATTAGCTGTTTTGTTCCAAATCAACAATGCAGTTACCAGCTTTGGAAGAAATCGTGATCTTAAAATAACTCAACTGTGTGATTTTTAAGATCCTGCTTTGTTTGAACCTTCCAATCATGATTTGTTATGTAACAAAAGAGGAAACGATGGTTTATAAGAGAATCTCATTTAACTCATGAAAGAAGAAGTAAATCTGTGAAATGTAATACTATGCAAGCTGGGCCATTTTCTAGAGGCCAAGGTGATAGTAGAGCTAACATTGTTTGCTACCATTGGTCCAGAAAATAAACTGTCCACTTCAGCTGCTATCTTTCTTTACACTGTAAAATGTCCCATGACAGAGATACCTGCCTTTAAATATTAATTACATAGAAAAATATTTCTTAATTTTAACAAAAAATAAAGAATCAATACCAGGTTTTCAATAAAAATAATAAAATTAAAATATACTTTCTCTAAAAACAACATATTTCAATTAATAACAAAGCTCAAATTTAATTACCTTGGATCCTTTGTTTTTATGGATGTAATGTTAGCTGCCTTTGGATATTCTATATCTAGTTAACTTGTTATGAATTGATATAAAGTTGTCCTTAATTTTGACTGGAAAAAAACTCTCTCACACACATACTCAGCCTCCCCTTATTTCTATATTCAAATTACTCAATTTGAATATCATAAATTGCAGCATTGTACAGTTTAATCATATTTTAAATTACATGTTAATAGTTTTCTCCCGTCTGCAATGATTTATGAGATATTTTGAAATACATTTCCTTTTCTATTTGTCAAGATTCAGTTTTCATTAGATTCTGTTTGCAATGATGCTGGATATCTATCCTAGTTTTACATTTATGCTACTGTTTTGCACCTGCACACAACCCTATGTCAGCAGATTACTGAGGTGCAACCTAAGCTTGGCTAAATAAATTCTCTCAGTAGGCACAGGAATTGCAAAGTAGTATAACTATAAAAGCAGAAGCTGTCTTTAAAAAAATTCTTTACAAGAGGCCCACAACAGCTGACTCAATTATGGCTTTCACTGCTCCTCTATGCCCAAACTTTAATAATGGTAAAGAAATTAAACACCATGGGCTGTTTTTCAGATTTCCTTAAAAGAGATGATAACTCATGAACTGATTTCTGAAAATACCTTGATAGCTATGGTTTGGGGACAATAGGGGTATCATATTATGAGTTGTAGAAATTCAGAATACTGCTAGAGACAAAGAATTTGAGTTATGTTAACTCTTTGTTGTCATCACGTGTTTGTCTAAATTTTGGGCAGCCCAACAAAGTGGGATGGAGAAGACCTTTGAATTAATTTCTGGGCTGCATAAACAGAGGGATAGAATCAAGATCACGTGAAGTGTTAATACCACTTTATAATGCCTTGGTAAGGCCACACTTGGAATATTGCATTCAGTTTTGGTCGCCACGATGTAAAAAAGATGTGGAGACTCTAGAAAGAGTGCAGAGAAGAGCAACAAAGATGATTAGGGGACTGGAGGCTAAAACATATGAAGAACGGTTGCAGGAATTGGGTATGTCTAGTTTAATGAAAAGAAGGACTAGGGGAGACATGATAGCAGTGTTCCAATATCTCAGGGGTTGCCACAAAGAAGAAGGAGTCAAACTATTCTCCAAAGCACCTGAGGGTAGGACAAGAAGCAATGGGTGGAAACTAATCAAGGAGAGAAGCAGCCTAGAACTAAGGAGAAATTTTCTGACAATGAGAACAATTAATCAGTGGAACAAGTTGTCTCCAGAAATTGTGAATGCTCCAACACTGGAAATTTTAAAGATATTGGATAACTATTTGTCTGAAGTGGTGTAGGGTTTTCTGCCTGGGCAGGGGGTTGGACTAGAAGATCTCCAAGGTCCCTTCCAACTCTGTTATTCTATTCTAATCTAATGGTGAATTTTCACCTTCAACACTCTCATGAAAGCAGAAGCTTTTATGTTGAATTTTAAATTAACCTTACTGTAATGATCTATCCAAATCCTAAATTATAGTCAATCTTAACCACAGAATGTGAAACAAGTTCATCATAACCCATACTTTATTTTGGACCAAGGATCATCTAGATCTGGCTTTATAATGTTACCAAACAGATCAATGGAATGATGATAGGAAAAGCATGCAAGCCCAGGATCTGGTGTTACTTCAGCTTTTTAAACCAATTTTTGAATGCAGCTATAAAATACTTGATTCAAGCAACATACAGTACTGAAACACAGGATAGTATAACAATAAGTATTTTGTAAAAAAAAAAAAAAAGCCATTAAAAAAAAGATTGTAGTGCTGTTTTAACTTCTGAAAAGTATTTCAACACTTTGCATTTTCCCCTTTAATTTATGTTCCTAAGAATTTCCACTTAACAAACTAATTTTAATGCCAGTAACATAACAGAACATAGGTTCGAATTCACAATTCGTTATTATGGCCTTTACAATAGAAAGCATTATATAGAATACATATTTTTAATAGATAGATAGATAGATAGATAGATAGATAGATAGATAGATAGATAGATAGATATAGATATAGAGATTTGAGTAAAAGCTAGGCATACAATACGGTAGTACTAATATTCGTATAATAATAACAAAAATGATATCATCCACAAGATTAGCACTAACCCTCAGATGAAGCTGAGACAAATAGAATAAATAAAAGCATCAAGTTGAGCAATAAGGAAAGATATGTCAAAGTCGAGGTCAGAGAAAAAGTAAGAAATAAACACTATATTCTTGAATTTAGGATCAACTCTGGGAGTTGAAATCCACAAGTCTTAAAGTTGCCAAGGTTGGAGACCCCTGGAATAGATGAATGTCATCCCCGATTCCCTGTATAGAGAGCAACAGGGGAGCATGTGATTTAGGAGCATGTGATTTACATAAGCATGTGCATTGCTATAGTGAGATGTTTTTAGAATACCCCCAAAAAACTGCAATACATCCCGCCTTATGCTCTGAAGCTAAGAGCCAGTGAAAATTTTAGAACTATGATGATGCAGAACTATGAAGTATGTGAAAAAATTTCACATACTGTGAGGCTGCAAATCAGATTTGAAAATCAATGCCATATATATGTTTATTAAAAATACATCTAATGCTTGCAAAGCCTAACAGGTAGAGCTTCTCCAAAAAGAGTCCTAGGGAGTGAAGTGGGCCAACATCTTTTAAAAGGTTTCTAAGAATGAATAGGTCCAGACCACTGGGATAAAAGTTAACTTTAGCCAAAGGTAACTAAGATAGTTTCAAGGACTAGCATCTAAGCCCATTTCTCAGTGTGGAGCAAGATTTTTAATACATCTGGGAAATGAAAGGACCGTTCTTGGGTTTTTTTGCCTAACATTAAGGGAGGTATGAAATCACTATTATGCTAATGATAATGTTGTGACCTCAGCTCACTTAGTCATTACAGGACACTATTAGTCTCAAACAAAACTATTTTATTATAACAGCTGAGAATTACTTAGACTTTGGACAGCTTAGTCCAAATTAATTCTGAAACAAGTCCTTCAGAAAAAGTCCTTTGGGCTTATCACAAACCTTTATCTTCTTTGGCACCCTGCCAAAGGCCTTTCTTGACAAAGCCCCACGAAGTTCAGAAACAAGAGATGCCGACTGGAAAACAGATTTAGCAACGTTGCTTTCCTACAAAGAGCCCAAGAGACTTTGCTGCTCTTTTAAGCCTTATGGGAGGGGCCAATCATCTCCTGGCCTTACTCCTGAGTTGTCCTTTTTGCTTTAGCTGCTCTTCCCTTTTGGCAGCTCTGCGCATGCATGCACTAGGAACAGGCTCCTCCTGTTCCTCTGCCTCTCTAGTGTCTGACTCTGGAGGCTCCGGAGTCCACACATCACTCCCAGATGGGGGTGCCTCTGGGCCTTCCCCAGCCTCCAGAACTGGCCCATGCCTCCTCAGTGTCCGACTCCACTGCTAGCTCTGTGGGCTGCTGGTGGACCACAACAGATAACCAATTTTATATTGTTACCCCAGGCCAGGCAGGAGGTGCTGAGAATATGTCGTCCCAGGACCTGGAGACCCCTAAGATAGGAATAGGAAAAAACAGACTCCAGTTGACTCAAAGCAATATGAAGTTGCTGTTTGTTTATTGAGGAGGTGTATAGAGGTCATCTGCACCTCTATAACTGTCTGGTTTGGTTCTGCAACCCAACAAGACAGACACAGATTTCAGAGGATAATTAGAACTGCAGAAAAAACAATTGCTATCAACCTGCCTTCTATTGAGGACCTGTATACTGCATGAGTCAAAAAGAGTGCTGTGAAAATATTTACAGACCCCTCGTATCCTGGACATAAATTGTTTCAACTTCTACCCTCAAAATGATGCTATAGAGCACTGCACACCAGAACAACTAGACACAAGAACATTTTTTCTCGAATGCCATCACTCTGCTAAACAAATAATTCCCTCAACACTGTCAAACGATTCACTAAGTCTGCTTTACTATTACTATTAATCTTCTCATTGTTCCTATCACCTGTCTCCTCCCACTTATGACTGTATGACTGTAACTTGTTGCTGTATCCTTACGATTTATATTGATTATTTCCTAGTATGATTTGATTGCTGATTTGTATCCTATGACTATCATTAAGTGTTGTACCTTATGATTCTTAATGAATGTATCTTTCCTTTTTATGTACACTGAGAGCATATGCACCAAAGACAAATTCCTTGTGTGTCCAATCATACTTGGCCAATAAAGAATTCTATAGTCTGGGGAATGTTTCTTGAAGAGATGGATAATTCTCAAAAGGTTTGAAAAAAAAATCAGGGATCTTCTTGAGCTACACAAACAGGTAGAAGCTATAGTTAAGGGGGTCTTTGCCTATTTCTGACTGTGTTGGGTGCAAACAACCAGAACATTTCTGAGAATGAGTCAAAGTTTATTGTTGATCACCAGTTTATAAG